CAAACAGAAACTCAACAGTGGGCTTGGTGTTATTCTGTCTCTCTGAGCATTACAATCTTTTTTTTGTAATTGGTGACGTGTTGATTTAACTTTGGAAAGTTTTGAGGTGGCATTCGACTGCGTTGCACCGTTTTGTCTCCTACCACAAACTAGAATTGACAGAACACAGAGGAACAGTTGCATTTCATTGAAGGATGTTGAAATGAATTGCAGTGTTTTTTATCGGATGTTCTTGAAGTTCTGTTTTTATTTATGTTTGAGGGATTATTTTCATTCATAAACACAGAACCATTTAGATACATCTTATTAATAGAGTGCAGAAGCTTAAGATATATTTAGTTTCATTCTGAACTAAGACATTATTATAAGTAATATTGACATTCTACAACAACCAAACCAGATTAATTTAAGCTGTCGAAAAATTTGGTCATTTTTGGAGCAGAAAATAAAGAACAGATTCAGAAAATTGCAAAAATAGACCTTAAATGTATACGTAAGTGTTTAAATGCACATTATGATACAGCAGTTACATTTCTTTCTCTCTCTCTCTCTCTCTCTCTCTCTCTCTCTCCTGATCTTCTGCGATTCTCTCTCGCACGAGCCGTCCTCTTGAGCGCGAAGCGGAGCGCCGACGCTCTCGCGCGCGCTCGCGCTCAGCTCGCTTCGCCTCTCAGCGCGCGCTCTCCGCCGCGCTCTCTCTCGCTCGCGCTCTCACTCTCGCTTCTCTCTCTCACTCACTCATCCTCACTGTCACTCACTCACATACTCACTCACTCACATCACATCATAACTACTCGCTACTCACTCCTCACACTCTCTCGCTCTCTCTCACTCACTCACTCACTCACTCTCTCTCTCTCTCTCTCTCTCACTCTCTCACTCACTCTCACTCACTCACTCACTCACTCACTCACTCACTCACTCACTCACTCACTCACACTCTCCTCTCTCTCACTCACTCACTCACACTCTCTCTCTCTCTCACTCACTCACTCACTCACTCTCTCACTCTCACTCACTCACTCCTCTCACCACTCTCTCACTCACTCACTCACTCCTCTCACTCACTCACTCACTCTCACTCACTCACTCCTCACACTCTCTCTCTCTCTCTCTCTCACTCACTCACTCACTCACTCACTCACTCACACTCTCTCTCTCTCACTCACTCACTCACTCTCTCTCTCTCTCACTCACTCACTCACTCTCTCTCTCTCTCTCTCTCTCTCTCTCTCTCTCACTCACTCACTCACTCACTCTCTCTCACTCACTCACTCTGTCTCACACTCACTCACTCTCTCTCACTCACTCACTCTCAATTTGCTTTATTGGCATGACTGTCAGGTGAACAATATTGCCAAAGCGTCAAGGATAATTCAATTCAATAGTGAAATGAATCCAATTCATTCATAAAACAATTTACAACAATATATTATTACAAAACCGCAAGTATCAAATGTGAAAAGAAAGAAAGAAAGAAAACAAAGACACATGAAGTAGAGGAGTAATCAGAAGGCAGAGTGAGCTGTGAGGAGAGGAGCAGCTGTTATGTGTTGTTGTGCTGCTTCTATGGTTCACATGTGCTCTCTCTCTCTCTCTCTCTCTCACACTCTCTCTCTCTCTCTTTCTCACACTCTCTCGCTCTCTCTCACACTCTCAGGCTCCCACTCATCCAGTTTACAACATTTGTCCAGAGAAGGTTTCCAAAGCCCTGCAGCACTTCCACCGGCTGCCGCTCCCCGATGACAGCAGACAGCCCGGCCCCCCCGCTCCAGACCACCTTCAGTCCTAGCCCCTCCTCCTCAGTGGTGACGTCACTGTGTGTGAGCTCTGGGGATCGAACCAGCACTCCGGTCTGACGGACGGACGGTCGATCCTCAGCAGGGCCGAGCGCTGGAGTTTAGGAGGAGTTTCCTGAGTGAAGCTCCAGTTTAGCCTTCAGATGATGCTTCGCTTGCAATGCCTAATGTTTTCATTCTTTGAAATAAAAGTGGAACTTGGTTTCAGTATGACCCGAGTTAATGACACTTTATACAGCGTGTTTTATGACTGGTGTTATAGCATGTGCTACATCTTCAGATAAATCATTACTTAAGAGTCAGATACGAGAGATTAAATGACACGTGCCTGTACAATTAATACAGACAATATTCATATCTGAGGAGATATATTTAAAGGGGACCTATCATGCAAAATGCACTTTTTGATGTCTTTTATACATAAATATGTGTCCCCGGTGTGTCGGGGAACTCACGCAGCGTCAGAAAATAAAACCCTCTCTCTTTTCCTCCGTACCCACATTTCTAAAAACTAGGCTACCACGGAGCTGATCCAGATTTGCGTCCGATATGGCGTAATATCGGAAATGTGGACCCACGGCCCTATCAGAAACGTTGCTATCAGAAACAATGCCCGACTGTTTTGGACGTAATATGGTCGGTGTTTACATTAGCATCGCTAACACTCAGAGCTAACCTGTACTGGAGAGCATGTGTGTGAAGAAGCAGGAAATAAAAAGGAACTCACCTTGTGGTATAACCGGCAAGAGAGAAAGCCTTTGAGCTCCATACTGTTTCAGAAATAATCCTTGATAATCCATGATATGGCGTTTCATCACGGCAGTATTTAGTTTAGACAGTAGCTGCCGGGTCCCGCATGAGCTCACAGCCCCCTCCTTTTTCTTTTTTTTTTTAAAGCTTTATTCCCAAAATCAGCACTTTTGAAACAGGAAGTGAAATAGAGGGAATATGAGGCATGGCTAGAATGGGTGATCTGTTTGGTATTTTGAGCAAAACACTTCATAGACATGTTTTTTATATATCTGAAACCTATGCTATTGCCTAAAGCTAGCATGATAGGTGACCTTTAAGATATCTCCAGGACCTTCAAATACAACTGTTTAGATTATTTTAAACAAAGTGAAAGAGATTAATTTCATCATTACTAGAGTCTTGGTTTTATGTTTTTTTTACGTAATCTGGTACAAATTACCGTGTCAATGAGGCATTGATACGAGTTGGATTAGTTTATAAAGGTTTAAACTAACGATTACTACTACCACCTTAACTCATCTGTTAGGTCTGTAAAAGGGCAGAAAGCTCTAAAGAAGCCACAAATAATATCTTTAAATGACTAATAATTGTAATATATTTCCTTTAACTAACCCTGGTGTTATAGTGTGTGCTACATCTTCAGACACATGGCAGATAAACCATGACGGATACAAGAGTTTAAATTACCTGTACAGTTAATACAAGCATTATTAATATCTGAGATGATTTTCTTCTGGGACACATTTAGCTATGTTCAGGGAGTTTAAATTCAACAGTGTGAATCATTTTGTGAAAGAAATACAGCGTATCGTTACTCAAATCTTGGTTTCATGTTCTGTTATTTCCTGCAAAGAACAACGTAATCTGGTAGAAATTACAGTGTCAGTTCTGAGGCATTGATATTAGTTAAAGGTGGGGTAGGTCATTTTGGAGAAACCGGCTCGAGATCGCTAGAATTTGAAAATACACAACCGGAAAAAATCTGCCACTTCCTTACAGAGCCCCTCCTCCAACACACACGAACGCGCACATGACCAATGAGGGCACGAGGTAAATTTGTGCACAGATGGAAGGCTGACGGGCAGGTAGGCCATCCAGTTATTTTAGCCGGGCCGGCTCAGATGATTGGTCGTGCTTTTTACAGTATTACGGCTTCCACAGATGACATGTTTTATGTATTTATTGTCAAAGCATTTAATGTATTCAACTAACTTTGATTTGGGATTATTACCATTCATTCAGCTAACCCTTTTATCCACAGCGACCATCAATACAACATTTTGTCCTAATATTTTCAGTACAAGACAAATCCTCACATTTAAGAAGCTGATACTTACATCTTCGGCACTCTGTCAATCAACTCCCAGATTAATTGAATGATTGTTCTCGCTCGAGTTTGGTCTAAAAAGGTAATAATAAAGAGATATTGTATCTCAATGGGATCCTTGTGGCTAAATAAAGGATAAATAAATAAGAACAGTCGGTTTCCAGAGGAGTTTCTTTGAAAGAGTCCCATTTAAATTAGACGGACAGAACACAAATCAGCCTACTAGGTAAATAAAATATGAAACAACTAAATCATGTAAACATTTTAGATTTCCTTTTTGGGGTGTGCTTGGGCCGTTAGAACTTTTGACTCATCCTCAGTATTTCTGAAAACAGGAAATTAAAGCAAACACAAATGAGAATCCATCCCTGAAGTAGGAAAATACCGATTCACTCAAAGTGTGAGAAGGCTGGCTGTCGCTCCGAGAACAAAAGAAAAACCCCGGCCTAGTTTTTTTCCCCCCTTCACAGTTAAAAGCTACACCGTGTAAAGAGGACATTATGCCTTTGGTCGTTAGTAGAGACACCTGCCAGCATCACAGAAAACCAGAAAAACCTGAAGCTATGTTTGCCTGCGGTACCTGAACACAACCCGTCCTGAAAGCTATTCTACAGCAACAATAACTGGAGTTAGAAGTGACAAATGTGAGAAACCCATTTCATCGATCAAGGATCTTTTAAAAACACTACAGGAAATGAAAAAAACATTTTAAAGAGTTGGTGTGACAGTTAAAGGGGTGCGGGGCTATTATACTTTTTAAATTTTTTAATTTCCTGTAGTGTGTTGTATAGGTTTTTTTGTATGGTCTGCAAGGGCTAACATCCCAAAGTACACTCACGCTTCTATTGGCTAGCATACATTGTACGTGATAGGCTAAGGGGCGGGACATCTTTAAGCTGTTGACCAATCACAACAGAGCAGGCCAGCTAACCAATCAGAGCAGGCTGGGCTCTGGTTTCAGACAGAGGGTGAAAAGAGGTGCTGCAGCACAGGCAGTATGAGAACAATAAACAGCTGTTTGAACATTAAAACACGGAGACATGTCACAAAGAAACACAATACAGATATTAACCTGAACCTGAGCAGAAGAGGGCTCCTTTGAATAACCACAGGGAGCATTGTAAAGGATAAAATAGTTTATTTTATAGTCTCATAGTAAAGGTAGGCCTCAACTTGCAAGACAATTGTTGGCAGTATGTACAACATACTTGTAATTTCCATGGAATGGAATCGGACAAACAAACCTATTTTTACACTAATTATACCCTCCTAACTGGAAATCAAATGGAAACAATATACATACACACACGTTTCCTAGACACGCAAAATGCTTCCTTTTTTTCCTTGGGGGGGGGGGGGGGGGGGGGGGGGGATTCAGCAACATTGATTTTTTTACCGTGTAAAGCACAACACATCGACAGGGAATTGATTCGCTCCCTTGTACTGCAAAAGACTGGAGCTACCTTTTGACATTCAATATCTATTTCAAACCCTTAAGGAAAACTACATGTGACAAATTGGCATTTCCCCATGACTCGTGAGATTACTACAAAATGCATAACATACTTTAGAACTCGAAAACATCCAATCAATGCTTTTTTTTATAATATATAAAACGAGATGCCTAACGTATTCAGCCACCTAAAGTCATTCACTACTTCAAGCTAAAGGACAAGATACGATACAAGTTCAGGAATATTCTCCTTCAAAACATCAATTTCAACAAAGGAGTCATGTTTTCTTTTTTTTTAAATTTGTGTTAAACGGTGTGAGGCAGAAAGCTTCTTCTCTCCGGTGGGCCTGAGGTGGGTTTCACTGATTCAGAGCGTCGTCACATTCTTTAGTGGAAAAAAGTAAGCTACAAATGTTTTCATTTTTTATTTTAAAAAGGTAAACTTCTCTGGGACAATTCCTCTAGGTGTGTAGGTGTGTGTGTGTGTAGGTGTGTGTGTGTGTGTGTGTGTAAATTCTAAAACATTTTTTTTTTTTTTCAAGAATAACAAAGGAAACACAAAAATATATATAATATAGCAGTGCTTGGAGTACGCCAGGTGCTCCCCTCAACCGCCCAAAAAAAAAAACACCCCGGGGAGGGGGGGGGGGCTTATTGAGGGTACAAAAAAAGCATCAAGTCCTTAAGTAGCCAAGCTGCCTCTTTTTGGGTGTTGGATTGTAGATGTTGCGGGGGAGGGGAGGGGGAGATACCAACGAGGGAGACCTAAAGAGGAGAGAGGGGAGGGGAGAAACCTGAAGCTCTCTACATGGACTGAAGCAGTCTCCCTCCACCCGAAGGACTCCCTGCCTCCTGGAGGTCGGGTGGAGGGAGAGATACTTGCGGCGTGAGGAGGTCAGCGGGGTCACGAGTCTCCAGAGCGAGCCCACCCACAGATGATGGAGGAGACGGGAGGAGGAGGACGGTGAGGGAAGCTTGTTGTTGGCCAGAGGGGGGGGGTGGATGAGCCTCGAGAGCTTTGAAGGCGTCACTTCCTCTCCTCTGTGCACCGCCATGTTTGAATGGCTCCGCCCCCTCTAGCTGGCCTCCACGCGCAGCTTCTTCCTGTTGGGCGGCTCCTCGGCCTCCGACTCGGAGCTGGAGTCCGAGCCGCCGTCGAACGCGGACACGGCGCTGCCTTTGGGGTTGGTGTAGAGGCTGCTGTCAGACGAGGAGTAGCTGGCCTGGAGCTGAGCCGAGCCCTTCACCTTCTCCAGAGCACGCACTGCAGACACACAGGAGGAGACCGTGAGGAGGAAACACGGGAGGAGGAAACACAGGAGGAGGAAACACAGGAGGAAACCATGAGGAAACCATGAGGAGCTGCAGGATCTCGGAGCGTACAGAAGAAGGCAGGCCAGGGACACATTACATGACTAAATGAAAAAACATGAATGATCTGTTCTGTAGGAGCTGGAGAATATACAAATATGTCATGTCACGATTGTCCTGGTCAAAATAATGGTGAATTGCAATATCCCAATAATGAAAATGTGCTTAAAACTCTTCAAATGGCACTTAAACAAACTGGAATCACTTTCAATGGAGCAATCTTAAATACAGTAACAAAAGAACCCCCTGCATTAAAAAACATTGTGTGAGAAAGGCCATAAAGCAGCCCCATCACAATAGGTCACTTTGAGCCAGGGGGGTCCAAACCTTTTTCACCCAGGGCCACATACAGAAAAATGTATAGTTTATTTATTATTTATAGTTAATAAGTACAATATAAGACAATCACAAGTTTCATGTGTGGGCCATATTCTAGTATACTTTTTTTTATTTGCTTAGGGCCGATTCATAAAGGACCGCATTTGGCCCCCAGGCCGTAGTTTGGACACCCCTGCTTTAAGCATTAGCATAATTTAAGTGAAAGATATTGAAATTCATCCCAATTTAAGAATAAAATCCACCCCACAGAAAAGCTTAATATCTCATTTGTGTGATATAGAGTGTGTACAGTACCCTCAGTGTTGGGGGGGCAGTAGTCGTTACCTTGCTGCTCCAGCAGAGCGTTCTGCCTCTTCAGGTCGTCGATGTCCTGCTGGTGCGTGTGATTTTTTCGCCTCATGTATTGGATATACTCTGTGGCTTTGTCTAGGATTTGAGCCCGAGACGCCTGTTTGGCAGACGGCTGTTAGTGACACACGAGATGGAGGCAGTGGCGCAGGAATACAGACTTTTTATCACATCATTCGTACACAGAGACAGCCATACGCATGCTTTCTTCACATTACTGTAGGGCTGTGGAAGAAATGTGGGTTAGCACGGTGTGGTTCTGCACTGCTGTTCAGCTCAGAGTGACCCCCCCCCCCCCCCCTCACATTACTGTCAGGGTGTTTGTCTCAGGGCTGGGTATCATTTCAACATTTTGAATAGAAATGTACAATATGCAAGTTTCTGTAAACCATTGGTTTCCTTAAACATACTTAGTCCATCACCTGTAATATCATTAAATACATGTGTAGTCCTTTAGGAACTTTTAAATACAAAACGGAATTGTTTATAATAAGTTGCATTTAATTCATTGTTTGATTGTTTTCTAGTAGAAGTGGTTTGGGCTAATGAAGACTAGAATATAGTTTAACTGTGGATAGTAATTTCCTAAGCCGACATATTTTAATAGCTTGTTTTGTCGGACCAACAGCACAAAACCAAGAGTTTCATATATTAATAATATCAATAAAGACACAGAAAAGGTCCCGCAAGAAAGGGGGTTTTGGGGGTCTAGTTCATTAAAAAGAGCATTTAATAATAAAGAAATGGTCAAAACAGTTGCAGACGAATTGAATAACAACTCCATGTTAGTAGTTTTAGCTCTCGCTATATTAATTATGTTTCTATGTATTTGTATTGAGCCAAAGAAGAGTATGCTATTGCATCAATGCTCATTTTGGATGATATAATGATAACATTGACTAATTTACATTGACTGACATAAAATGGAGGATTTAAAGGCTACAGGGTTGTATTTTTAGATTAGTATAAAAAACTAGCACTCTTAAAGTAAAATACAAATGATAAAATAAATGAATATATGTAAATAAATCTAGAGGTTAATAACTAAAAAGTCTACAAACATTGGTTTCTTAGTAGACTTCTTTTTGTATTTAATGCGAGTTAGTGTGGAGTCCGTCTGCTAAATGAACTGATCACAAGACGTGCAGCCACATGGTTTACCACTCCACCAAACAAGTTCCTAATAGAGACAAGGACATTCCTCAAAACTAAAAATATGTTAGGCTGGCAACATTTGGATTTAAAACAGTAACTTCAGATTTCCATATCTACACGGAAGCTACTGTGCATATATACACATGTGACAATAACGCACTGTCTGAGCAGATATTCAACTCTACCCGATTGACTCAATAACTGAATGCAGTCATTTCCGTCTGCAGAGTCAAATATTGAGGTTTTGCACCCAGCCCTAAAATATTCTCTTCATATTTGTTTCCCTCTCTCAAGAATTAAAACCCTGCAAGCTGGCCCTGAAGCAGATCTGTAACAGCAGTACAGAGAGAGAGAGAGAGAGAGAGAGAGAGAGAGAGAGAGAGAGAGAGAGAGAGAGAGAGAGAGAGAGAGAGAGAGAGAGAGTGGGGGTTGCACTGAGGCAGCTGTAACCCAACACTTCTTACAAATGATCAGTAAACATCTCTCACATCATCTCATAACGCCCCCCCCCCCCTCTCCTTCACACTGCGTCAGTCAAAATAAGCCAGTCTGTGCCCACAGTTACTGAACCAGCTCAATGTCATAGAGACAAAACAGGAAGAGAGCAACACAAATGTCCTCATAATAACTTCCTGTCGTTGGTCCAAGTATTTCTCCTGCCTCGCTGCCAAGCTGCTCTCAGCCGCCATCTGCCCTCCTCCAGTCCCTAAAACTATTTTCCTCCACTGGCGCACGTTAAAAGTAGTTAGCAGTTATTGCACTGCTTGTATTTATTTGTACGGTTGTCATATATTAATTCGTTTTGGTCTACCAGACTGCTATTCTTATATATTTATTGTTGTGTATTAATAGATACATATGTTTTTGTTATCTTTGGGACGGTTAGAAACGGCATTTTGGGTTAGAAACTATTTTCCTCCACTGACGCACGTTATAAAAGTAGTTAGCAGTTATTGCACTGCTTGTATTTATTTGTACTGTTGTCATATATTCATTTGTTTTGGTCTACCAGACTGCTATTCTTATATATGTATTGTTGTGCCTTTTATTTTATATGTGTATGTTTGTATATATATTGTATTCTTTGAGACGGTTAGAAACTGCCTTTTGGTCGCCCTGTTTGAACCACACAGATATTGATAATACAGTTGACTTCTCTGTAATAAATCTGACGGGTATATACTTCCACCTTTAATACTTACCTGGCTGCTATCTCATAACTGTCACTGGATTTTGTAAATTGTGTCATTTCTACTTTTATCTTAAATATTTTAAAGACCTGCTTCTTAAATAATATCAATATCTCAGGCTCTTGACTTGCTGTAAAGTTCCCTCTGTGGGACAGATAAAGGTATTCTGATTAGACTTTGACTAAGCATCCCTGCACATTTGAAAGAAAAGGCTTAGTCACATGACAGAAATGCATTGATATGATTTGCAGGTTAATTCACTCAACATACTTCACCTTTCAGACATGTCAAAAGTTTCAAAAAGAGTCTTACATGGGAGCCTGAACATCGTGTGCCTGGAGGACTGGCAGGCTGAGCTTTACCAACCTTCTCTCCCTGCAGGGCGGGCACTGAGTCCCGGAGGCTGTGAAAGCTGTCTTTGATGTGATCTCTACGTTTGCGCTCCAGAGCATTGTGGTGTGCCCTTTTGTCTGCCTGCAACGACAAGAGTCACACGGCCTTTAGACCGGCAGCAGAGCCACAGTGGGGGGGGGGGGGGGGGGGTCTGTGCTGCCTTCACAACACCACCACTGTAATGGCTGTCTTCATACAGTGAAGTAGTAATCATTAAAACCATGCTAATATAGATATAGCAATCAGATGTGAGCAGCAATGATTAGCTAGTGTCAGATATTTATATTTTTTACATTAATCTAGAACATAATACTATAAATACCCAAAGGTAAGATCTACATATCTGCTGGTGTTGAAAGACATTGCAAAACATTAAGATTTTCATTTTACGGTCACATAAAAAACTGTATTAAAAGACATTTCAAATCCTGATTGAACAGCAATTAATGCTTGGAAAGAATATTTCTAATGAAGCTTCTGTTATTGATTTATAGACTCATTTAATCCTAAATTATGCCAGTTAGTCAACAATAGAAGCAACTAACAAACTGTCTGTGTGAAACTAGAAATGTTCCGAGGACTGCGTTTATTCACATTACGTTTTGAAGACTGTACTATATATATATATTAACATGTGTGTTTGCGTTAGTAGCTGCTGATGTTGCATCTAGAAAAAGCTCAAACTACATGTAATGATAAATAATAGTGGAATAAAAGACCTCTCATTCTGTCATTCAAGGATAGTGGAAGAGTTAAGGTTAAAAAAAACTATATACAAAATCTAAGACCTAGTCATATGTCCCTTTGCATGACAGTATGAGCACCAAGCGTCACTAAAACCGCTCAGACTGTTTGGGATATCCTACCAAGAGATCTAGAAGAGAACCAGAACCAAACGGTATATACTCATCAATAATCTCAAAAGTCATTTTCTGTCACATGATTATCTGACTCCACTTCCTACAAGAAGCCTCACATAAAATAAAACTCCAACAAAAACTAAATTAAAAAGTCATTATTACCAGTTTCATTTCCATCGCTAAAAGTCTCAGTATAATGCAGCCTTTTGTCTTGTGGCCCCCTCCTGAGCCCTATATAGCCCAACAACCACCAAAGTGACCTAAACCCATGGGCGTCGCAGCCATTATATGAGGGTGGGACAAGTCCCCCCCACCTTTTAAAATGATTAGTTTAGACCCCCCCACTTTTACTATGCGGAAAGTCCGTGAATCGGTCTATCCACTCGCCGCTCTCTGTAGAGCGCTGTGTCAGTGCTTCATTATCAAATCAATTCCACTTGCTTATTGTGAGAACGCCCAAATCAATGAAACTCCGTACCATGTTTTCACTGCTACTTTGTACCAAGGCAGATTCTTGCTGCATTTTCTGTGTAGCTGTGTCTTTAGTTGTAAAATGATGCGCGCCACAGTTTCCACGCTGCGAGGCTCCGGCGCTAACAGTTCACGGCGCTAACAGTCTACAGCTCAGTGAGGTAAAGGACTCTCTGAGTGTTTAGATAGTTCACTTTAGTCTAAGTAGTGGGTCAGTTATGTTTCACATGGGTGTTGTTGAGAGATGTATCCATAGATGTAGTCCCTAATGTTGCTCTCAAAGTGCAACATGACCCCCCCCCGGACTCCCCTAGAGGAGGTGAGGTCCACCACCTGCCCACACCCCCTGTCAAATTGTCCCACCCACATTGAGGATGCTTCCTACGCTCATGCCTAAACCCCCCTTCCCACAATGCATTTCTGTCCCTCCCTCTCTGCAGGAGCACACAGGAGGGGCCGTTAGAATTCATGACCGGGCCAAAGTCAAGAAACCTGAATCTTTCATATGAGCTGAGGAGGACCACAGCGAATGAATTAAACATCACAAAGACTCCATGACATCTAGACTTATGACTTGTTTCAGAGCAGATCACACTATTTTTAGTAGTTCTATTTTGGAGCATTTTGTGGTTAGGGTTACAATTTAATAAGCATTTGGGAGATTTCCAGGCACTTCCTTTACCTACCTACATTACACTGCTTTCATCATTATACCTCACTGAACCGTGCCAAATGTTAAGCATATCAGTTCAAGCTTATTATCGCATTAACGACTTTTCCGTGTGTTTTATTATTATTAGGTTTTTTAAGATATATCTGTTGTAATTTATTGTCGTTTATTGTGATTTGTAGTAATGTGTTTTTATTACATGTACAGCACTTTGGCTCGACCAAAAATCGCTTTTAAATGTGCTATATAAATAAAACCTGATTTGATTTGACCAAATTAAATAACTAACCTAATCAAAATGCATCTCCAGTAACATGTAGAGGTTATAATATGAGCATCTAACAGGCCTCCACCACACATTTGTTTTCTAATTGTACAGTGAAGACACAAGATGGCTGCCATGATCACATGACGAGAGGCAGGCAGTTTGCTGTAGATCGACCTGTTTTTAGGTCAAACAAATGCCAAATCACATCTGATACTGTCCTAATCCACCCCGTCACAAGGCTGAGACATGAAGTCCTGCACCCAATCAACACTGATCATCTCGCGTCATACACCTCCAACAAAGCAAGGCCGTTGAACTATTAGCGAATGAAACAAACACGTGGTGGGAACACGACATCGCCTCAGGAACATTGGAGAGAAGGTGGGAGTCACGTGAGCTGTCCTCTAAATCATCTGACTCATTTTGTCCGAGGATCACCACAAAGTAGCCCACAAGTGAGGCAACGCGCAGGTTAAGACAAGCCTTCGGGGTGTCGGTTGATTTCTGGGAGGGACAATGTGTGTGAAGTGTGACTCAACGTCTGTAACAAAAACACGCTAAAGTGATGCTTGGAAACAGGAAGTCCTTCAAGGTTAACAATCAGACTAAATACCAGACCAATTGAGATAAACATGTGACCAAATCAGTTTTAATAAGCCTGTACAATATGATTTGTAAGCCAGTATATCTTTACAGCTCCACAATACTTCATTAAAAACACAAATGTAGTCTTTAACAAATATTTAGCTTTCGGCGATTCAAATATTGCACTGGTCCATATTGCGAGTTCGATCAAATGTATGTCAATTGAGCCGCCCTGTATCAAAATTGCAATTTGAAACACTAAAACCACGATGAAACTAAAACCGTAATAAAAACCAGTTTATCAGAATTCACTGCATATCACTCCGCCTTGAGATTACTCCGGCGGGCATGCTGACAGCTGCTCCTGTTGCACAAGAGTCACAAACCAGCGAGGAGAAACAAATCCTTGAGGAGCACGTGCCGCCTCCTCTTCCTCGTATCAGATAAAGCCTCAGAAAGGAGAGACTCCACTCCCTCCGTTTAACGCTGGCACAAACAAACACATGACTGGTATCGATGGCATGTGCAATTACAAGTCTGGCAGCCATTGTGATTAAAGTGAACAGAAAGTACACGTGGCTGAAACCCTGAGTCGCAGTAGGGCTGGAGACATTCCTTATACTACCCCTTTTTAAAGATAATGCTTCAGTTTTATAATGTTAACATGTTCAAGTTGTATTGAGAACATTAGTTAACGTACAATACTCGCAAAACACTTAAGAGGTTTGTGAGCATCATTAAAACTGAGCCTTTTTTAAACTCTTAATGTTCAGTATTTAAATGAACATTCGGTTTTAAAAGCTTATGTTATTTATTTTACTTCTATAAAGTTTATTTATTTTCGGCAGTTACTGGCACATCGGTCACTTTTCACATTCTCTGGCACTATTTTATTTCTAGTTTTGTTTCTTCTAGCATTATTTTTATTGTACAATACTCGCAAAACACTTATCACCAGTCCCGGAAAGACCAAGTGCTACCGAGGTGTCCCTGAGCAAGGCACCGTTCCCTACACTGCTCCCCGGGCGCGGTACATAATAATGGCTGCCCGCTGCTCCTAACACTAGGATGGGTCAAATGCAGAGAAACCGCTTCGTTACATAGTACATGTACTACGTCATAAGTTGAATCTTCAATTTTCAATCTTCAAAACACTTAAGAGGTTTGTGAGAATCACTTTAAAACTCTTAATGTTCAGTATTTAAATTCGGTTTTAAGCTAATGTTATTTATTTGACTTCTGTGAAGTTTATTTATTTCGGCATTTACTGACACATTGGTCCCTTTTTTACAATATCTGGCACTATTTTATTTCTAGTTATGTTTTTTCTAGCATTATTATGTCCTATATATATATTTATGTTACATTGTATGAGAAACATGGGACTTAAGATCTTCACTGCCAAAACTACACTTTCGCTTTGGTGACAATGTGACAATAAGGCCTTGAATCTTAAGTCTTGAATTTTCTTTCGTAGGGCAAGGTCCATGATATCATTACTCTAGAAAGGTAATTAAGATCCAGAAATGTATTCAAGCTGTGCTCTCTGGAGCTGCTCCATATACAATTACAAGGCAATTACGGACATGAAGTGCCCGGGCTGATTTCATGTGAACACACTCTATAAAAAGGCTTCACTAAAAATGATCCTACTAGGAAAAAGCAATTTCACATTTTAACAGAATTCTCACAACAGAGTATTACAGCAGAAGTGGGCCATCTCTGTACACTTTCATAAAATAAAATACACATTTGAGGCAAGAGGACAGAGGTTGTGTTACACGTACCAAATTATACTAATTAAATAGGTGTGTCTGATGTTAAGGCAGTCTTCTATGACTCAATGGATCACGAGGCATCAGGATTTAAGTGGACTACCACCACCACTGCAATGAGTTATTATTGGTTTAAATGATCAACATTTCTGATTATGGTTTATCCAATTTCCTATGCAAATACAAGATGATGTTTTGAAATAGTAAATAATCTTTTGGATAAATCATTAACCAGACAGGTTAATCCTTCCTATTGATTTGAAGATGTGTGTGCAATTATATAAAACACCTCTAATACACTTGAGTTATAGATACAACAGTATAAGCAACTGTGTGATACAGTATATTTTGTTGTCTCCCCAAACCTAGCTTTCTGATATTCTCTACAAATTCCAACCTCACATGACTTCTTGTGAGTGCTGCTGTCTATTACGTGAGAGCAATATGAAAATCTAATTTGGTGGCAGTGAGCAAACATGTAGCTACATGTAAATCACAAGAGCCAATAATAGCCTGTGAATGTCCACTGATATCACACTAGCTTAATAAATTCAGCAGACATGTTCTGATGCCCTGTCGGCTACATGATGATATTATGAGCTATCTGAGTTGTTAAGCACATCGGGCACCAGGAAAAACAGGTGTCCAATTACCTGAGTACAGCCATTATCAGTTCATCATATAACCGATCCCTTTTGGCAGACTGCAGGAGAGACGACGCGCCGGCTGAGCGGCTCTCTCCGCTCTATTCATACCTGACCATGACACATAACATAAAAGCTGCAGGTGTTTAGAAAAAGAGCGATGGGTGCCACTCTCGGGCTACCGATGACTGTCTCACTGAATGAAAACCTACACTTCTATCAGTGTGGGTGAATACTTGGAAAGCTTTCTCACATATAATAATGTTGGAAAGACCAATACAAATGCAAAGATTATCCGACAAATCTGCAGAAAAAGAATCTATGATGAAGTTGCTAATTATTGACCGTTAATGGAGTTGTTAGTTTCAAACATGTCTCTCTCAGGCGATTAAATATGGACATTTTGGGCTTTTCTGTTTTGTTCACCCAACTGCTGAGCAAAATTAATATTCTGAATGCTAACCAAATCGGATCGTGGAATAGGGCAATGTCTATAATTATTATATATCGGCTAAATATTTGTCAAACAGTCGGAATCATTCGTCCTTAAAGATTTGATTTCTAATCCTGTACGCCGGGCTGAAAGATACTTTGCTTTAAATCAAAATTGCAATTTGAAAAGGGGAAATATTGAAATCGCAATAGCTGCCATTTCATTTACAATTCATGTATTTGACAGTTTGTTAACAGTCTCAAGTGAAGGTTTAGGTTGGCTGTCATTGACAATTATACATTTCCTCTATTTTATACTTTTTGTATACATGCAGATCTGTAGGCTTCATTGTAATGCATTTAGGGCAAGGCATGTGTAGAAGGACGCAAATGGCTGACTATAAGGGACACAAACAGCCATCAGGACATACATATTTTATGATTATAGCTTAGATAATCAAATAAAAAAAACGCAAAGTGAGCTGAAATCAGGTTTGTGTTTCTCGTGTGGCTCTGCAATGGAGGTAAAAGTAACCACGATAAGGAGAGAAGAGGACTGAGGTCTTGTGGAGGGTAACAGCCAATAAAAAGCTATTTGTATCTTAAAAAGCACTAATGCATAATCTAACATTTTATATTTATTTTTGGCGTTTACATTCTGGTTATCTGACTGGAGGTAAAGCGTCGTGTTTTGCAGCATGTGCATCAAACCGAGTCGTGCAGAGGGTGTTTTTCTCGCTGTATGCGATGCAGCTATACGTCATTCATTTAGGCTGCCAGCCCTTTAGTGGCCTGTAGAGAGAAGATGGCTCTAATCACTGGCTGCAACACAGGAAAACATCCCGCAGCACCCCTTCCTGACACGAAGGCTGTCCGAGTCCGAGATGCACAGGCGCGGCTCTTCCAACCAACCACACACACACACACATACATACATACATACATACATGCAACAAGCCCCTCTCTACACCTTCTCCCTGCTACATCATGGATGCATGAAAAAGCGTCTCTCTTTTTACTGAGATGACCTAGATGTGTAATTTTGCGAAAAAACCTGATCACGAGCGGAACCCCCGTGGCGAGAGGTAAAACCGCCGGGGAAAAACTATTCTGAGCGACTAACCGACTGCAACCGAGCAAAATTAAGCTTTATATTAACCAAGGGGAAAACATACAAACAACAGGGTAAAGCTTTGGTCTATATATAGATGTCGTGTCACCGTCTCCCTATGGCCGCACACACATGATGGGGATACCCTGCAATGCACTACTTATGCCTATGAACATATATAACATAATATAAAATGCACTATGGTTTAATACTGCAGAACATTTCAGAAAATTGCTGTGCATATATATGAATTTAAACCTAATGTTGGCAGAAAGCAGCAGATCATTCAAGCTTTTTCAACCTCAACCATATAACCCCACCAAACCATTAAATACCAAAAGAAATAAGCAGAATGGGATGGATAATTCAACTTTGCAACAGCAGTGACACATTACTCCACATTTGGACAAAATCCCCCCCAGCATTACGCACCACACAGTGATATCTCGGTGAGTCTTCCTGCAAAGAGACAGAACAAAAAGTACAATTGTAGCCATAATTGTTGAGCGAATCGTACTGCAGTGCTTAAGTCAATAGAAAGTAAAAAAAAATAGCAGGTATATAAAGCTTTGAGGCAACAAGGGCTAGTGTAGCGTATCATATAATAAGAATCCCGACAAATTAAACACAGTTAACCAAGACAGAGAAGCTAGCATGCTAACGCTAGCTTGAGCAGCTAGGTTAGCTAAATCGTCAAAATAACATCCTTAAAAAGCTGAAAGTAGTAATACTCACGTCACTATCGACTTCGATATCATCGTTATCACTCATTATTCGATGAAATAGTCTAGTTTAAAGAGACGTGTGGCTAAAAAAAACAACATGAATCAGTTTAGCACCGAGCGGCGCTCAGACAGACTGCTAAACGCTCACGTTCTGTTTGGACAGAACCGAGGTGTACTACCGTCTCCACGTGACTACACAGAGACGCCACTACGCAGCAGGCATGCGCGACATCGCAGGGGCGTCTGGGAAATGAAGTCATTAAATCCGTTTTTTCGCGTATCATCAACAAACGGACTGTATTACAGCATTGAATGTAGATTTATTCAAGAACACATAGCTGGTTGTGTTTATGAGGTTTCAAAATATCGATAAGTTCTTTAAATATTTTTAAAATAGAACGTTTTGTTTATCGGTAAACTACAATATCCAGGAGTCGTTTGGCTCGCTTGCGACGTCACAACCTCCTTTCCATTGAGAAGCATTATGGGAGTTGGAGTTGGAGACATCATTTGTATGTCAGGGGAGCTAAATAAGGCCATGGCTCAGACACGTGGATAGCAGGAAACACAAACACACTGCTGCCCTATTTATTTATATAGTTATTGTTATTTCTTTATCTTTTTCCTTAACATTTATTCATTCTGGTCTAAATCCATGAACCTTTACTGCTGTACTATTATTTGTTTAAGTGAAACGCTTTGTGAAAGATTAAAACAACAACAAATTAATTGGCAAATATGCTTTAATCGATAAATCATTTGTAGTCATTTTTCAAGCAAAATGGCAAAAAAAAAACATTTAGTTCCAGCTAAATATGTATCTTGACAGCTTTTGACAGTAGACTAAACATATTTGGTCTTTACCCTGTGTGGGACAAAACCAGCACTAGGAGTTATTTAGATTTCTTATAATTTTTAATTTCATTGGTCAGACACTTCATCAAGAGATCTATCACATACATGTTGTCTGACATATTTATTATAATGCACAACTTTCCAGAAACTAAAGATTATTTGTATATAATGGTGGAGGGAGAACATGTGTTACTTAGTGCGGGGGCTCTGGTCTCAGAACAAATTGCAAATAATCTGCTCTGGTGCTTCCTTTTTCTCAAAACTGCTGTAGATAAGGAGCTTACACTGTGGATTATTTTGCGCTGCAACAGTGGATCAGTTAATGTGTAAAAAAAACAAGCTGGGAGCGTTCCCCCAGCAGGTCAAGAGGCCACGGCAGCTGCAGGCGACACCATGCTCTCCGTGCTGAAACAAGGCTTTAGACCTGCACTGACCTTGTTCCTATACCATCTCTTCCTGGCCTGGATCGCCCCCTGTTTATGTCTTACCAGTCCTCCTTCCAATTTTACACCCCATCTACCATTTTATTCAGTATGTCCCGCAGCAGCCGAGCCAAACGGGGTCACCCAGAAACACGGGGCGTAACAGTATAGGCCATGTAAAGGATGACAACACAGTAAGGCCTTAATAATGCATCCGCTGCAGTGAAGCCTCTGCTCCTTCATGTGTGGCAGCGAGAAAGCATCCAGCTATATTTGTGCTCGATAGTCGCATTTAAACTACCTCCAGGGACGGGTAACGTAACAGAATAATATGATAATGAGGCAGAGCTCTTAGAAACCGAGAATATTTTCATCTTCCTGTTTCTTGCCACACCCTCAATGCTATTACCCCTGAGGCCTGAGCTGAGTTATGAAGTGTTTTAGCGCCATTTCAGTCCATATCACTCAGGCTGTTTGGAGCTCAGACATTGATTAGCTGTGGCCAGGGCAAAAAGTAGTAAAATCAGGTATGTGAAGAACTGGGCTGTCATTAGAGCTCGAGAGGCTGATCAGTCCAGGCACAAACCTCCCTCCCCTCCCCCCCATGTCCTCACAGGGCCGGCCTGTTAAACCATTAAAATGCCCTACTTTTGTCCCCTTCCAGCATGTTGCAGACAACAAGGGCCCCAGTGCGCAGTCACCATTAGACATTTTGCTATTGTTGTCAGTGCATGACTTATGAAAGGGAGGGCAAGGGGGGGGGCACCATCAGATATATACCATTAGATTAAGGGTGGAGCATTTTCTGCCTTGGCTGGGCTTAATGTAGTTTCAGATGCAAATTTGTCACTGAATTGTGCCATGTTAACATTTGAAAACGCAAGCAGTCCTACATTAACATTAACAGTAATGTTCCTTGCAAGTTAATATGATGTCTTGGCTTGGATATAAAATAAAAAATGGTTGTCATAAAGTGCAGCCACAATCATATTTTGCATTGTATGACTGGAGTATGTGACCATGTGATTTTTAGAGTAATACAGTTTGTCAAACAGACAATTAAGATAGGACTTACTGTACCTTTTTAAAGTGTGTAATCATTAATATATTAATAATATAATATAAATGACCCATTTAAAAGAAATTGCACATAATTTACAATTTTGAACATCGGGATAACTTGATAGAGATAAGATTTGGATGCTATGAGAGAAATTCTGCATGCTTTAAGAGTGATGCTGTTGATGTGTTAGTTCAACAGTGAGTTTACTCCAATTCATCTTTATTGCATGGCTGCATTGGAAGTCGCAAACCCAGGGTTTTTAGTCACTGTGATAAGAGACTTATTTACATATTTAACTCTTTCAAACTTGTCGCCTCCTCGTGCTGATATATCAACAGTACCAAAGCAGTCGGTGCAGAACTCAAAGGCATTGAGTAGGAGCTTCTCTGCCACAGAGTTAGGAGTTTCCTTTCAGTTATTCTCTACTGCACAGGGTGTTCGCATAGATCAGCAAAGGATTCAAAGCTATCAGGAACCTTGGCACGAGCTTTAGAGTAACAATCTGTGAACGTAATTTGTAATCATGTGTAGAGTTTGTACTTGGCAAACGCTAATCTGATGGCTTGCCAGAATGCTGTCGCCAACAAGCCTGATGATAATCATCCATTTGGGTCTTTAATGCTCTCCTTCTGACAAAATCTGAGGCGGTTTTTGGCAGCTAATGACCACTTAGAGTGAACCCTTTCTCATCTGAAAGCCCCAAAAATAGGCATCTCTATTGGTTAGCCTGCAGCAAAAGGAAACTATGTATGTTTCTTCCATTAAACTATTCCATTGAGTGTGTAATGGGAAATGCAGCCTCTTGGGGCCGCCATAAAGACTTCAAATGTAGATCCTGCTTTGTCTGAAACAACACTTACAGTACACAGATACTAATCTAGATATTCTCCTCTTCTATATGACTCATTGTAGTTGCTTGTAAACATGTCAAACGGAAAGCATTCAAAGAGTTTTTGGAAACATTTACAGGATCTTCTTCTTCCGAAATGTCCACATTGGAAACACATTTCCACATTCAAAGTTGGATAATGTAACTGATACATTCACAGAAGCACAAATCATACATTTGGTGGCATGCTTAACAATATATTAAACACATAATTCAGGCCTACAGACCGACATTGTGTCCTGCAAAAAACACATGTTGATCTCCTAAAACACACATATTGTCGAGTTAAATGTGTTATAAATAAGCGTTTTCACTCTAAATTAGATTATCCTGAGGTATTGCTAAACTGCAGAAGTCCATTGTGGCACTAGATGGCACCTCTGTTCAACCTAGTAGTATGTGTTCGTCATTTCTGTCTCACAAAATAAGAGATTACCTTCACACAAGGATTCTGTTTCAGAGAGAAGAGTAGAGGAAGCCTAGTCTGGCCAAACATGTAACAACACAATACATCACATATAGCTGCGAACAAACGTGTCAGTTGTTATCTTCATGCAGGAATGAGTGTTTGTGTCTGGGGAATCCACTTGGTGGGGTTTCTTCTTTTTTCTCCAAACTGACCTCCAAGAACAGGTGTGCAATTCACACCTTCAGAGCAGCATGCAGTCGAGAGACACATTTATGAAACTCTCTGGTTTCTTACGAGTTTCTTTGTATGGGTGCGAAACAGATATGAGAAATCCTGTGGTGGTAATGTTCTGCACACAGCAGGGAGGATGTGGAGATGAGACGGAGGTTGACTTGGCATCAAAGCACAAAGGAGAGTGAGGTGTCGTTAAAAAAATGAAACATATTTAAGCGACTTGCTGCAAAAAATACATCAGTTTAGTTCAATCACAAGCAGTATATACATAAATAAATATATAAATAAATCGCGGTGGTGGCGAGGTCCATAGGGACTTGGCTTGGCAACTGGAAGGTCACCAGTTCAAGTCTTGGCAAGACCAAGTGCTACAGAGGTGTCCCTGAGCAAAGCACCGTTCCCTACACTGCCTCCCCGGGCGCCGTACATAATAATGGCAGCCCACTGCTCCTAACACTAGGATGGGTCAAATGCAGAGAAACCGTTTTGTTAGTTGTACCTGTGCTATGTAATGACAAAAGTAAAAAAATATATATATAGAAAAAATTGATATAAGTGAAAATATACATATTTCGTGATGTGTATTTTGAAGAAGCATGCCATGTGAATTTGGAAATTCTAAAAAACTAATCACATACCTAAGAATTAATTACTGGTATTTATATCTTAATCTGTTATAGTAGCTGATAACAAACTACATTTTATTAATATATTTTCAGCCTCAGTTCTCTTGTCATTTAACTTTTTCTCTGCTTTTTGTTCCTCTGAATAATAACTCTCTACCTTAAGTTACATTTTTTAGCATTTATAAGCAATATTAGAGTTTACAACATATTCTATACATACAGAAGATCTGCTGTGGAAAGGTTTGAGGGTCAGAATGACCGACAGCCACTTTGTGTCGTAGTGTTTATGTACATCTTGAATGACTATCAAATCAAGTTTTATTTATATAGCACATTTAAAAGCGATTTTTGGTCGAGCCAAAGTGCTGTACATGTAATAAAAACACTTTTACTACAATCACAATAAAAGACAATCATTTACAACAGAAATATAACACACACAGGGAATAGTCAGGTGTCATACTCCGCTTTGACTAGAAGGCCAGAGAGAAGAAGTGTGTTTTTAGTGATGATTTAAAAACCCCTAGGGTCTGGGCCGACCTCACATGGAGGGGCAGTGTTCCAGAGCCTAGGGCCAGCTGCTGCGAAGGCTCGGTGCCCTCGGGTTTTGAGCCTGGTCTTGGGCACTATCAGCAACAGCAGACAGATAGGTAGAGGTTTCATTACAAGCAGTGATGAACAGAAAATGTATGATTTAGTTAAAATCTTTTTATTGTTTAAGTCCAACG